GTTCTCTACGTGTAAAACAGCTGCCATGATGTAATTTTTTTATTTAAATTGAATAAATGAAAGCTTTATTAGGAAAAAGAAACATAATTACAACAAACCATGTGATTAAATGTTCAATAAGTTTATTAGCTACTACACCAACCCCCACATGGTTTCCCTTGTGCCACCCCACTGAAAAATCCTAGAATCGCCCCTGGATTTAAGCTCTTTGCCTCGTATTTGCAGATGTCTTGGCAGCAACATTTCAGAGCGGCCCTGAACACGAACCTCCGCGCACACTGCAGCTAATGATTCCTCCGTCTGCAAAACCGTGCGCTAAATATTCGCACGCTTCACTCACTTTCTGCGAGACGATCTCTAACTAAGATCTGGCACCTCTCTTCGCCTGTCTTAACACACGCTTTAGAATTCCTGCACTGCAAATGCGAACCATCTGTGCTCCCACGAAGCAACAAAAGGCGTGTTAATGAGAAAATGGTAAATCGGCTGAGCTGCATGTTGGTGGTATTCCTACTGTAGCAGAGAGAGAGAGAGAGAGAGAGAGAGGGGAAACATGCATTCAACATTCATTAAACTTTTTTTTTTACTAAGCTTGTTTCATGAGTGACTGCTCTGCTCTGCCCGAACCGTTCTGCAAGAGAGAGAGCTGAAATTTTCGGGGTTCCCTGGGGATTCCGTGGGAAGGAAATCTTGCTGTCTGCTTTGTCCATATACCAGATCTCAGACCCCCGGTGAAGGAGGGGGCGCGCAAAAACTCGGTCAAAGGGTTTCTCAATCTCCGTCACTGCACGCCGTGTGTGTCTCATTACCTGCGTGCACGCGCAGATCTCTTCTGGATCTCTGCGCACATCTGGTTTTGGCGGGGTCGCAGAGTTGCGGGGGAGGGACTTTCAGTGAGTTTGAGTGTGTGAGTGTGCGATCATGCTCAGCGTCTGAACTCTGTAATTCGCAGCAGATGACCACTTGGGGGGATGTAGGCTTTACTTGGGGAGGTGGCTGTTCCCTCGGACAGCATCAGAGCGCATTGGGCAAGTTCACGCGTTCCATAGATGATGCTGCTCAGCGATGGCGCTGCGCGCTTGAAATGTACACTTTACAGAGCAACAAGTGAAATATGGAAGAGTCCAGCGTGACAGAGGAGAGGGGCGACTGCACCTGAAACACACAAAGCGAATGCCGCTTCAGATCCGGGCTGTGCCGGCCGCGCTGTGGGAATGGATACCAGCAGTTTCCTGGTGGGGATGTGCTTTTTCCTGCTGTCGCTTAATGGGTTTCTGTCCTCCTCGCTGGCGACGGGCTTTTGCCCAAACCGCTGCGACTGTCAGCATTCACAGCATCTCATGTGCACCAATCGCGGATTGCGCACTGTGCCCAAACCCACTGCGCAGATGCCCGAGGAAGTGCAGATTTTCAGCCTTGGGGGCAACTTCATCTCTAACATCTCCGCCTTTGACTTCACACGGTACAGTAACCTCGAACGGTTAAATCTGCAGTACAATCAAATAAGAGTTATTCACCCAAAAGCATTTGAGAACCTTCCCAAGTTGGAAGAGCTGTACTTGGGACATAATCTTTTAACAGCTATACCCGCGGGAAGTTTGCAGCCCCTAAAGAAATTGACTATTCTCTATGGAAACAACAATGCAATTAAGAAAATCACACCGGGACTGTTTTCCAACCTGGATAATCTTATTAAATTGCGCCTGGATGGCAACTCTCTAGAAGTTCTGCAGGACTCTGTTTTTAAGAGTTTGATCAATCTAAATTATCTTCATCTGGAATCCAACAAACTGCAGCACATTCACAGAAACGCTTTCTCTAAACTGACCAGCCTACGCTTTTTAAACCTGGCCCACAACAAGCAATCAGCCGTGCGCAATGTCCTCACTTTCTCTCATCTCAAAGCTTTGACGACGTTGCTGTTGTCTGAAAATGAAATTCGTCATATTGGCAACCATGTCTTCCAAAACCTGAAAAAACTGTCCAAGCTTTCCCTCAGCAACAACAAAATCTCCCAAATGGACAGTGGTGCTTTGAGGGGCCTGTCGAGCCTCACCGAGCTTCTGATTGACGGCAACGAACTGGTGGGAATTCCTGCCGTCCTCCTCGACCCCCTGGAGCGTGTCGAGGAGCTGGACTTCAGCCGCAACCGGATATCCAGCGTGGACTCTCTGGCTTTTTCAAGACTTAAACACCTAAGAGTGTTGAAGCTGAAGGACAACTTTCTCACCAGTCTGTCTGGGGACATGTTTACCCTCAACAGCGTACTTTACGACTTGGATCTCCAAGGCAACAACTGGACATGTGACTGTCGCCTGGAGCAACTGAGAGAATGGATTGCTGCTGCACACTCTCAGGGCAAACTGCTGACTGTGTTTGTGCAGTGTCATTACCCAGCAACTCTGAGGGGGAAATATCTGGACTATGTGAACAGCTCCCAGCTGCAGCCCCTTGGGAACTGGACTCACTTGTGTACAAGTCAAGCTAGGCCTGAGGAGAGCAGGGCAGGGGCCGTACTAGTGAAGCTGGGGAGCACTGAGAGAGGAGAAAGAGATTCTCGGTTGCCAGAGGGCGGAGAGAGGACAGATGAAGAAGCTCAGAAAGGTGTGAGAAAGAGAGGGGAAGTGGAAGAAACAGGACGTTTAAGACCGGTGAACAGGGGTGGAGTCATGGTATGGAAAAATGGAGAGCAGAGGAAAAAAGAGGGACAGGAAGAGGTGGGGATCCAAGGAGACCAAGGAGGTCAAGAGGTGGCAGAACCTTCTTCTTTCCTGGACAGAAGGAAACCAAAGAAGAAGCTACGGCCTGCTGCAGAGGCAGCTGGGAAACGCGTTAAGGGGAGAACGAGGTCAAAAGTTATTTTCAAACCCAGTCCATCAGCCACAATGAGCCCAGCAAGCATCGGGCTAACCACCACTGTGTCTGTTCACTCAGGAGAGCAGTTAGATCTCCTTAGGTCGGATCAGGATGACACCCTACCTGTCATTACAGACCCTTGTGTTTTCAACCGCCATTTCATCACTAATGTGTCCGTGCATCACGTCACATCTAATACCGTCACTGTGTACTGGACCACCAGGGATCATCACCGCTACACACCAGGGCCCGGGCCAGGTCTTGATGAAGTCCACTACCGGGTTCTGTTTGACAGGTTTGGCACCCAGGATCGTTTCCCCCGCTACGTTTACGCCCACGGCGCGGCTCGCTCCGTGACCCTCCGAGAGCTCAGCTCAGATGTGACCTACATGGTCTGCGTGGAGGGAGTGGTCGGAGGTTCCGTGTGTCAGGTCGCACCACGCGACCACTGCACGGGGCTGGTCACCCTATCTGAGGCAAATGGCCGTGGAGCTACGCTGACCTCTGACCTCCAGCTGGTGACGGTGGCGATGCTCGCCGGGAATGCTGTGCTGCTGCTGGTCATCGGCGGGGTTTGGCTGGGGAGAAGTCTGAGGAGAAAGTTGCAGAGGAGGAAGTCAGCTGTGCACGTGCGCCACATGTACTCCACCAGGCGACCGTTTCGCACCGCAATGGCCACGGCGTCCGTCTGCACCGACTTCACCAGCTACCAAAGCAGCCGGCCAGCACGGCTCGCACCGCTAGAGGAGGGGGATCTCATCGAGTTCCCTTGCGACCGCTTTCTGGACAGCAGCAGCGTTCGCAGAGACAGCGAAATGCAGAGATTCTCTGACTAGAACCATTAAAACTCCAAATTAGCTTTAAAAAAATGTTGACACTGAAAAAAATGGGAATTGCTTCATGTTTCCATCTGTGATTTAGCCTTTTTAACACAAACTCCTCTCAGCTGAGCTCATGAGACACCAGAGGAAGTCCATTCCCTCTGACTTCCCCTTTCCCAGTTTGGACCCTTCCTCTTTAATTTTCTTGCTTCTGTGAGTCTACATGCGTTGTTTTTCTTTTTTTCTTTTTTTTTTTTGTGTACGTGAATGATGTACCACTGATTTCAACTACGGTGCTAATATTCAGTTTGCAGACATCATATTGTCTCATATATGTACAGTGTGTAATGGCTGCTGGGTGGCAGAAAAATCTCCTGTTTTGTACCACATCTACCGTGTTTTAAACTTTTATAAGGAACTTTGTATCATTTTGCATTACATGACAAAGTAAAAATCCCCAACAATGTGACTGATTTGTCATTTGAGTGCATGTGTTATTGTATCTGCGGGTACTAAAACCCAGACTGTATATAAGACTGAGGACGAGAGCAGCAACAGAACATTAAAGAAGTGAGTGAGTGAGCTGTGTGCGTGTCAAGATGAGGTCTGGCAATAGTTAGGCAGTCCCTTTGTTTGAGTCTACGGGGTGGAGTGCCTCCTACATTCAGTTCAAATCATACACACACACACACACACACACACACACACACACACACACACACACACACACACACACACACACACACACACTGACAATTGTCTGCACACAAACTTTTCATAGCATCAGACAGTCAAGATGTTAGACATTAAAGCTTCTTGGTTTGTGACAGCTGACCTTAAAGGGACAGTTCACGCCAAAATCAAAACTGCATATTTTTCGACTTGCCTGTCTGTCATATTTTTGGTTGTTTGTTTATTTGTGTTTTAGTCCATGTAGGTTCCTTCCATTGAATATAATGGAAGCGAATATGGCGGGCATATGTTTAGACACAAGATTTGGGAAAATCAGTACAGATATTACAATAATAACGCATAACTTCTTGAAAGCAGCTGACTCACAGTGTTGCAGACATCCAGAGTCTCAAACATGTCCATGAATGCCTCATCAGGCAAGTTGTAATAAAACATTTTTTTAAGATACTGAAACTAGTATTCTTTCCTTTATATTATTATCTTATTTCAGTTAGTTTCCAAGTTCACAAAATCATTTCACTTAGCTTTAATTTCTTTCAAAATGCCATTTTCAATTTTTATTTTAGTCAACTCAAGGTTTTTTTTTTAATAATATTTATTTTTTTTAGTTTCGTTTCAGTTAACCATAATAACCTTGGAGCTAGCATATGAGGGTGGACATCGCGCCTCTAGTCATGGATAGATGCATGCATAACGACCCCACAGCGAAGCTTGTGGATATATTTGAGTAACTAGGTCATAAATCCTCAAAAGAGTTTAGTAAAATACATTTTGGGGGGACTTTAAGCATCACAAGTAAAGTATTGCTTACTTTTACTATTTTCAAGAGAAGCCAGTCATGTCTGTGGCTGATATTTTCAAAAACTGGTTAACAATAGGTTACATTTTGGGAGAGCTATCCTTTGAAGTCTGGGACACTTTTGTTAGTAGTTGCCCAGTTATCCAGGATCTCAGCAGACTTTGAGGTGGTACACCCTGCACAGGTAGCCAGGCCATCACAGGGCTGACCTTCACATCTCCACAGGAAGAACATGCAGAAAGTTCATCTTAAGTCTTTCTGTCTGCGTATGAGACGAGACAGAAACAATCCTGGTCACACTTTGATGACTACTCTTATTTTTGCTCTCACTAATAAAAACAGTCACTAGATGGCAGGATAGACCGCACCGCAAGTACAGAACCACAGTCTCACTGCTCACAGCCACCAGCTGACCAAAATTAAAGGCAAACAAATATGAATCTGACAGATCTGACGTTGTAAAAACACATTTCAATGATTCACAAAAAGATACCATAATAATATTTTTTTTAATTTTTGCATTAGGTTTACAGCGATTGTCAGCGTCTTTACAGTACAAAAAGTGTAACTTCTGTGTAAGTTAAATTAAACTAGCAGGGACTGAGACATGAAGTGTAGTTTATAATTACTCAGTGACTCAAGGCAGTCACAAAAAAGTGCCTTAAAGAAAATACTGTTTTCAGTGGCTTTCCAACACAGTTGCAGGTTTAATTAACTAATATTTACAAATCAATGAAATGGGAAATTTTAGGATAAAATATTTATCTTGTAATTTGAATTACCTGTAGAAAAAACACCCAAAACAACAAAAACTTTGTTGTGTTATTTAAGGTAAGCTGCCTCTGCTCAAAAATGGAAAAAGGTGCACTTGGAGCTGCCCAATTAAAACAAACAAAAAAAAAAGTTATAGTCTCTTTTTCTGAATTAGTGCAAGATATGCCAGAGAATGATACTAAAAAGATGTGTCATGACTGTGTGTGTGCATAGCGAGTAGGTAGGAGGCAACGTTAGGCTCATGTCAAAAGAAAACAGACATTATCTGAATAAACACAGGATCCAGTTGCCATCACAGTTTTAACAAGGCTTTCAGAAAGTGCATTTTATGCACCTGTTTGGAGAAATGAAGCGACAGATCTATCTCTCTCTCAGTAAGTGTTTCCGATCTTCTCACAGAAAATCTGCTGATCGTGTTGAAAAATACCTCAAGCGTTCACGTGGATTTATAAAATCCCAATCCTATCCAGTTTGGGATTTCACCTATACGTTGCAGGCTAGTGTCCGGGCTGGAGGTCGTGGCCCGAATCGCCTCCAGACGTCGAGGAAGTGGAGATGCTGTTATGTTGGATGGCTTGCAGATCAAACCCAGGACCTGCAGGGGTGGGACTTCTTCCAGGGCTCACCCCTGCAGCTGGACATAGAGACAGCTGTCAAAGTCACTTATAAAGTTCTGACTCTCTGCTTTTTGGTGTTGGAGATTGTAGGCATCAAATAAAAAGCCACGGCATTTGAGATTAAATGAAAATAGCTCATTTATTTTAACAATTGAATACTGTACATACATGTATAAAGAACAGTAGAAATATATGAATATGAAATGTGCCAATATTGCATCTCTCTTTGTTCTATGAAACTCTTGACACATACGTCTTTGTCTGCTTAGGCCACAGCGTTTCACTTTTTAAATATCTTTCGTTACAGGTCAGTTTCAGTCACTGTTTGACATAAACTTGAAGCCGCCTGTGGAGTGCAAGAAAGGCAACTTGTTCCCTGCTAGCTTCATGCAAGGCAAAACAATGCTAGTAGCATGGTACTACAAGTTATCTCAAATACCATTGCGGTGTGGTTCATTAAAACAGAAGGACAAACTTGATATTCCTTTAAATTAAATCAAGAGTGCAGTGCTTTTTTTCCCCTGATCTCTTCAAAAGTGCATTGCTAATTTTTTTGGACACAGCGGGGTTTAAAGCAACAGTTACTTTAGTCTTTTGTGCTGTTTGTTTAGCACTTTAAGACACAGTTTAAAGTGGACCTATTATGCTCATTTTTCATGATAATTCCTGTTTGTCCCTTCGTCTCCCTCCCCTTTTTAGTCAGCTTTCTGAAACAACTGTTGTGCCCAGAACAGAAGGTTTGAAAAGCAGGTTGGGTGGGGCTTCTGTGCTCACAGCCATGGCTGCATACCTGACATAACCACATAAGGATATCCCCTCTCTTGACATCATACACATCCATGTCCATGAGGAAAAAACAAATTCTTTGCTCACATGTACATACATAAAAAACTGGTACCAATTTTAATAACAGTGCGTATATATGACAGAAAATAGGAGAAAGCATAATAGGTCCACTTTAAGGTCCTCGGTGTGTAGAGCAGTGGTTCTCAAAGTGGGAGCACCAGGTGTCTGCATCCAAAAGTCAAAGGGCAAATAATTTGCAAAAAAATAATTTTATAATAAAAAGTGCATATTTACAGATGGGGACATTTACTCCTGCCTGTGTTATCTTTGGGCTGACAGAAGCTCGCCATCAGATGTGATTGTGACACATCACGTCAGTCTATCATCAGCTATCACACACTTTTCTCAGGGTGTAATTAACCATTCCAGCTGTTCGGCTTCTTGTCTTTTTGACATGCGGGCTAGCAAGTAGCTTTAATTATTATCTATATTAAGTCAGCAGGTAAAGCTGCATTTAAATCAGAAAACATTTTCTCCCCTCTTAGGGGTTCTTGGCCTCGAGAAGTTTAAGAACCCCCTGTGTAATAGCGAGTGCATGTGTAATTGTGGGTACACAAGGTTTAATGTGTGAATTACACCCTCAGTGGTGGATGGAGATGACTGGTGTCAGGCATCTGGAAAAGCTGGTGAGATTTCTACACAGGGTTGCAGGGAAGGGGGGTTTTACTCACTGGGGTACCCCTGTGCCTCCCTCTGCCGAGCAGTGACAGGACAGTCCTTGTGGGTGAGCAGAATCTGCTTCAGCTGACCCACCTCCGACTTCAGTGACGTCACCTCGTTCTGGAAGCAAACACAGTGAAATGGTAAGCACTCTCGAAGTGTGGGTTGTGTTGATGTGAGTGTGTCTTGTGCTCAGAGCACATCCCACCTGTAGCTGAAGGTTTGTGTGCGTCAGCTCTTCAGCTTTCTTCTCCAGTGATGACACCCACAGCTTCCTCTTCTGTCGGCAGCGGGTGGCTGCGGCCCGGTTACGTTCCAGAAACTTCTGCCTTCGCTCGTCGGGGTCCTGCTCTACTGTCCTCCTTCGACGGTTTCCGCCCCCTCCTACACCACCTCCACTGCAGCTACCGCCTGCCTGCACTGCATGAGTGTGAGATGGCTGAGAAGGCTGCATCTGCTGTGCAACTGGTGATAACTGCAGAACAAAAACAACAACTTTTTCAAGTAACTGTGCTTGAATGCACAAAAAACCCAGCCATCGTTAAATATAAAGCATTATACCTGCGCAGGAGCAGACAGTGGAGGTGCAGGTGGGGAGCCTGGGTGTAAATGTGAAGGCGGTGATTGGTGAGCCTGAGCGTGAGGTGGTAAATTCCCTGCCTGGTGCAGCTGGTGGCTCTGGGTGCTACCAAGATGCTGTGGGTGGGGAGCATGGCACCGCTGTTGGTAGGTAAGAGGCACAGGCGGAAGCTGTGAGGGATGAGGCTGAGGATGATGATGATGGTGGTGCTGCTGTTGTGGTTGTTGTTGTTGTAGTGGAGGTGTCTGGTGACGCTGTGGCATCATCTCTATCATGTGGCCCATGGGTGGCACATTGTTACTGATGGTGATCATTCCTGGGTGGTGCTGTTGATAATGGTGGCCCAATGTCTGCTTGGATCTCTGAGCCGAAATAGATAATAAACAAAAAAAGAACAAGTTAATTAATCATGTGATGCTATTAAAAAGTTAAATTATTATCACTTCTATGTGCAATGATTTAGAAATCTGAAGAGATCTAACCACTATCCACTCTGATATCAGCCTCTGAACTGTGTTCAGAGGATAATAAGTATATACTAGTAACCAGATTAAGAAAATACAAACAATTAACGTGAATTCAACTGAGGAAGACTTTCCTTTTCTTTTACATGTTGGATTATAAAGATATTTATTTACCCCTTTCATGGTCAATATGTTAGAGAATGCTCAGAAGCCCTATAACCACACAGAAAGGCCATAAAACTGCAGTTCCTCAAATGACCACACGAGGCTGGCTTGCACAGTGAGACAATCCCAACAGACAACTGTTCAATTCAGTTCAACTGTATTTATATAGCACCAAATCCCAACAACAGTCGCCTCAAGGTGCTTTATAATGTAAGTTAAAAACCCTAGAATAATTCAAAGAAAACAGAGAAAACCCCAACAATCAGATGACCTATGAGCAAGCACTTCGGTGACAGTGAGAATGAAAAACTCCCTTTTAACAGGAAGAAACCTCCAGCAGAAACAGACTCGGGGAGGAGCGGCCATCTACCGTGACCAGTTGGGGGCAAGGGGAGGAAGACAGGACAAAACCACACTTTGGAGGAGAACCAGAGATGAATAATAGCTCACGATTCAATGCAGAGTGTGTGAAAACACATAGGAACGGTGAAGAAGAAACACTTGGGAAGTTCCCAGCAGCCTAGAGCTATTGCAGTGAAACTAAAGGAGGATTCAGCGTGACCTGATCCAGCCTTGACTATATGCTTTGTCAAAAAGGAAAGATGACTATGTTAAAACGCCCAACTTAACAGCATTAAAAAGCAAGATTAAACTCTTCTGAAAGAATGGTTTTGGTCTCTGTGAATACTCCCCTAATAGAAATTGTATTGCAGTTTCATTTCTTTGTCATTCTTCTAATTACACTTTTAAAGTTTGACAGTGGCCAGTTTTGGCCAGTCATTGAACTGGACCTCTGGACTGAGCATTTTTAATGGAATTATCAATTGTTGTGTGGCTTACGGCACAAACGAGCAATTCAGCAAGTGACTGTTTCCACTTTGTTGCGTGAGGGTTTCTTTTAGTATTTTATTAGTACTAGTGCATGGAAAAAAATAATAATGCGTCTGTGAAATTAAAATGATACGATGCCTTTATCAGGTGTTATCAGTGGATAAACACTACAAGTTGATAATTTTAGCCCTTTGGATGTGTAGCTGCTAGGCAATTTGATGACATCATAATATCTGAGGTAGATAAGAACCACAGACAGTATAAAAGATGGACGTAGCTGCCCTGACGTCACGCACTGCTTTGAGGTCCCGCTTTGAAGCCTCAAGCTGGCGACGGTGTTTTGCTTGTGAAGAATGGACGTGAAAGAGAGGGGCGGGTCTGACTATTGGCTACTGACTTGTGATTGTCAGCTCAATAGCCAATGTGGTCTTTTGAACCATAGTATGATCAAGATTTATGAAGCAGACCTCATTTTTTTTTTTATCTGTATGGCGCATAAACTGAGTCTATAAACTCAAATGGAAAATGTTTACAAAGGTCAAGTGAGACAGCTTTTTTTCTTTCCACTACAGGCCTGAAATTCCTACATTTCATTTTATATATCATAGCAAGAAAATTACTAATTAGCGGCCATCTGTGGCTGTGCAGTTCACCCATACAGTGTATGGATACAGCCTTCTAAGAACTCAACTTTCTTTCCCCAAATATGGTAACTTTAGACTCCAAACTAAAAAAAAAATGTGGCTACAGTCAAAAGACTTGAGTCATAGTGTTCAGTCTATGGTTTATCCTTAACGCCTGCTAAATTAGTAACAGCAGGTTCTCTTTGAAGCAACGGGCCACTTCAAGCCGCGTCCTGCACTTCGATGCAAACAATATCTGCGGGTCAAACCCTCCTTCTTTTCCATCCTCGCCACTTCTCCTCAGCGTCCGCAACTGCGAAGACAACTGTTGATGAGAGGGATAACGTGTTCCAATAAATGCTGCCGTCTGCAGCTTGATACCTTCACACTTTATCATTCCCGTGTATCATCTGACTAAACAGACTGTACGAGCTAAATTAAACCTCATCTCACCTTTCTCCAACACTCAGCAGAGAAAAGCAAGAGAGGGAGAGGTCATGTTTGGAGCATGACATCACCCCCCCCATTCCAGTCCCTCCCTGGCAATACTGTTATCTGCTCCCTGTTACACAATATTTCTTTAAGAGAAGAAGCAGATTTCTCTCTCTCTCGCTCTCTCTCTCTCTTCACCATTCAGTGAAGTAAAAAGAGAGCACATTTAACTGGTGCCAAGGATGAGGTCATTGAGCTGTCTGTGCCAGCTTTACCAGCCAGCCAGGCTGCCAGTCATACACACACGCACAGCCACACACACACACTAAATAGAGCGGGACACGAGTCCTTCAGTTGTGTTTACTAGATAGAAACACCCTGACACTGAGGCCGGCGATTACATCATGGGTCTCCTTGGCTTGGATGACACACCACGTTGATATTTCTGTCTGAAGGGATCAGTGAATGAAGACACAAAACTGTACATGAAACACTGATCCACTTGTCAAATGTTTACTTTTCCACTTGAGCTGAGTGTAGCGTTACTGTACAACAGAGGCACGTTAACACACTTTCTGATGTTTTAAATAAGCGGAGGCCTGTTTCGAAAAAGAAAAACCTTTCCGAGGACCAATATAATTCCTTAGATTTATACTACAAGACTCATTCACCTGCTCACACACACACATTCATGCAGCACTTTATTCTGTGTACTTTAGGAACGTTACCTACAACACATACACTCACAGTAGGTGCAGCGAGGGGGGGGGGGGGGGGGGGGGGGTAAGTATCCCGGACCGAACCACTGACAAACCAATATGTAGATGACTCACTCCACCTCTTTGCGTCCACTGAGGACATTTGTGGAACAAATGTGTTGCATCTTGGTGAGTGTTAAAAACCTGACAAAAAGTCAAAGTGTTGTTTGAGGGTTAAGATTCTGCATCAGGATTAAGGTTTAAAGTAAGGAGTTGCTTCAGTAATAAAAGCTAAGGTAAGGTAAGAATGTGTTGGGTCATCGGGTACCCTTTTATGTATGTGTGTGTGTGTGTGTGAGAGAGTGTAAGAAAAGAGGGTCAGAAGTAAACTTGCCACCTGAGTGGCTCCGCAATCTGAAACCACTTTTCAGTTGCCACTCTGTATGCGAGCTCGTCCACAAGAAGCCACAACCTGTGTCTATGCCTGTGTGTGTGTTTGTGTGTGTGGGGCTATTTCACAGTTTTCCCATTTGAAGTAGCTTTTGATAGCAAAATATTTTTAACTATTAATTCCAGATGCAGGTGAAAAGAGGATATGTAAAATTTACAAGCGAAAAGATCGCACGCTTGTTGACGCAAGGGAAATAAAACAACTGAGAAAGCCACAGGGGAGCATGTAGATTGTGACTTCCTGTGGCCCAATGTGTGTGTGTGTGTGTGTTTGGGGGTAGAGTTACATTCTATTTCCTGTCTGTGCTGATTAGAAAGGACTATGGCAAAGGCAGAAGGTGAGGCCGGGTGTCTTTTTTTTAAGTGTTACATAACACTATGAATTTGTCTTTATTGAAAAATCACCCACATTTTGAGCCATTATAGAACAGATTAGAATAGAACGCGACTATTTGTCATTCTACAGGTGTACAACCAAATTTGGAGCAACTCTCTGAGTGGTGCATATAGTTAAGACAAAAATATATTCAAATACATATATATCAATATAAAGATATCAGAATATGAGATCAGTATAAGTTATTATACACACACAAACACACTCCTACTTTACAGACTTTAGTAACATTGCACCGGATGTTCTGAGTGATGATGATACACAGTGTTATGAGCTGGAGCATGATGGTAAAGGGTATATATAATGGACATCTCTGTTCTAACTGAGCTTACTATAAGCCTCAGTCACCCAATCAGTCATTCATATAGCACTTTAGTTTACACCTAAGTGCTTTGTCTAACAATAAAACACACCGAGTGCAGCAGGGTTCAGAATCCTGCCACAGAAAGATTCAAAGTGCAGACTGGGATTGAACCTCCAACCTTTCAATTGTTAGCTTACCTCACTCAACCTCACTCTGCCTCCTGAACCACAGACAACCAAAACGTTAGGATAAGATATAATATGCTGGGAGTTGATGAAACATGCAGAAATCCACTCTTCATAAACAGCTGTGGTGTAATGCATTATTAGTGTAATGCTAATATAATGTTATTAGCTCCAATAATGGAAATAGTGGGAAAGGTAGTCAGACTGACTGATGATCACCTACCTGGGGTGAAGAACAGGAGGGGTTGTGTACAGGAGCCGGTATACCCATTGCACAAGACATCTGCTTCTCCATCTGAAGAAGAAACAGTAGACACAAAAAGAATCTTTCAGCTGTGACAAAGGGAAGCAGCAGCTTGTATCCACATAAACCTCAAGTATGAAGAGTTCCCCCAAAGGTCACATCCATCTGGAGTTTTGACATTTTGATTAATTTATCCACAAAAGTGAATTTTCCTGTCATGGGTCCACTATACCTGCATCTATAAATCATCAGGCATGCGTGTTTGAATGTGTGGGAGTCTGAACATGACAAACACCATCCCCTTCCATACTTACAGTCATGTGCTGAGCAGATGCCCCTTGCATGGCGGGGTCTGGCAGGGTGCCAGGTAAGGAGGCTGGCAGCGGCTGCCTGTGTCTGTTCCGCATGTGAAGGAGGCACGACAGCGGCCCGGGAACCGGCCTGTGGTGAGCCGAAGAGGGAGAGAGCGATAGAGACGGGTCATGCTAGAGAGCCGTCCACAGCCAAAGTTTCATAAAACCAGGTTCAGTAAGAGGTGCAAGTTGAAACATTTATAGCTGGGTCTTAATGGCAGATGGAGGTGAGATGTGAGAATGGTCATATCGTCTTATTTTTAGGGGAAGCTGTCTCCAAATCTACAAACAAAAAATGCATACAAAGCCAGCAGAATGGCTCTGTTCTGGGACCTCCCTGCACTTTAATGTGTAGGACCTTCACACAAAACAGAGCTGGTAACAGTGGCAACAGATATGCCACTGAGCTAGGGAAGAGGTGGGTTGCAAAGTGGCTTGCAGATGTGCTACAGCAGCTAAAATAGCCCTCCCACTGTTTACAAGGGTATCAGCTGAGCCATCAGCTGATGATGTAGGCTAGCACTGAGATCAGCTGATCTGCTACCACTGCAGGTGAGGGTAACTTGGCTGAACTAACATCATGTTTGATTTCTACTACTTACTTCAAATATTTTTTCAAAAGGAAAAGATAAGTGATTTTAGCTGGCAGGCTTACCTTCGTCTGAGCAACGAGTTGGCACAGTTTCCTAAAGTAAAGCAGGAGTATATCTTTCTAGAAGCAGCATTTCAGTCATCCTGTTTATTTCATACATTTAACAGATTTTACTGGAACTACTTTCTACGGAGGAAATAGTCCCTTACGAAACTGTTGACAGGGTGTTCTGCTTATTGTCCAGAATATTAAGTTCTCTAGGCAAAGATGTTGCTGTTGAACTTTTTTGACATGGGGAGTAGCACAACCTAAATTCCACTGAGCCTCATTGTTTTGGGATGGCGGAGAAGTCTCAGAGGCAGATGTGTCAAAACATTGGCAAGTTGGCAAATCAAAGCTGCCAACCACTAGAAACAAATGTTACTGAGGAGACTCTGAGAGCCCTTAAACACTCCAATGTGATCAAAAAGCACTGATGTGTTATTGTATGCCAGGAGAGAGCTGTAAACAGAGTTTTGAGGTAAAGCGCTGACAAGAGAAAGAGTGATGAAGTTTAAAAAAAATGGAAAGAAAAGAAAGACGTGGAGAAAAATGACAGCCCGAGAGGGAGGTGCAAAGCCTGCAGATCAGAGCGGGGGGGATCCAGAGACCCAGGGTGCCATGTGCTGACCTAACCCCTCTGGCTCTTTGCCAGTCGGACAGCGTGGGCCTGCATGGCCACGCTGAGGTCATCATCAATGATGTCATCACCGAATCTGGGGGTATGCGACCCTTTTAGAATACAACAAAGCGCAGACAAACCAAAACAGCATTTCCTAACATAACCACAACAGTTCTACCAGGCCAGCAGCCAGACATTCAGACCAGGTCACTATGGAAACCGGTGGTAAACACTTGGGGAAACAGCCAGATGCCCGATCCAGAGTTCACTTAGTAACTCTTAGCGGGTTTCACTGACTAACATGCTGTCTGGATTCAGCTGGCACTGATTAATGCTGCCATAAATGACTGTCAGCTCGCTCCCCACTGTCCTGTCACGTCCTGTCTGAGCCTGGACAGATGTTTGGAGCTAATTATGTCACTGACTCACTTGTGGCACCTTGATTCATCTAATCAACAACAGATTTGACAGCCTTTTGTTTGTCTACAGTATGTGTTGCAAGCAGAAACCATCGGTTTGATGGAGATGATGGAGGCACTTTTATGTAAGATTGACATTTGGGCGGGAATCGCTATTTACTATATTTAGCATAACTAAACCCCAGAAAACACACAAAAAAATATTTTTTTAATCACAACGTGTCCAGTTTGATCTCAGAATATCATACATCTGCTCTCCTGTGAATTAATAAAGCCTTAAAATAGTCATAAATGCAAAAATGACATTGCTGTAATAACTAGGACTGGTAGAGAAAATGTTACACTAAAAAAAGAAAAACTATATAAGTCAAAATCTTCTCAAGCAAATTTAAATGGTTCCAACTTGTAGAAATATGTGAGTGTGCCTAGGCCCGTACAGGTGTATTTATCGGTGGGCTGATGGCACAAGAATAAAGACAAACAGGCCCAAAAATGCTTATTATTATTATCATTATTATTATTACAGGATTAGGGGTAAGGTTAGGGTTAGGTTTTGGTCCTCCACATTCTAAACTGGCAAATGTTTAGAAACTAGAGGCCGATGCCTTTCAAATGAAGTGACATACAAACATTTTCTCATTCCAGTTTTTCCTATTTTAAAGCACCACAGCTTAGAGGTTAAAGCAATTAAAGTTTACACTGAAAAAACAAACAACAGCATTTTCTCTGTCTAGAAACATTCATAGAGTTAATCTGGATAATCCACCGGCCTAACTGTGAAATGCTTTAGTCCCAATAAAGCTGTAGGCTTCATGTTGTGCTTATTGCCCAGAATATGAGGTACACTGTTTCTGTTAGTGATTAAAGTCGACTGAAAAGGGTAGATTTCTTGTATTAGCTGAAAAACATTTTAAGAGGCAGACAAAGACATATGTGAAATTTTTTTAAATAAAAAGTTACACATAAACAGTTTAATGTTCAGTTTTTTTAAGTTTAATTTTTAAGGTAACCTGATATACACGTTATTATAAACAAGTGAAGTTATTTAATTATGTTGCTGTGGCAGGCATTAGTTCGTTTTTCTTTATGAAATTAGAGATGAAAATTACTTGTATTACCTAAAGTTGCAAGTAATATTAGTCAGTAAACAATTAAATAAGTACTTGAAAACACCTTTTTTTCCTTATCAAACAGAATGCTGTAAATATACAGCATAATGAAGAGCAGAATACATAATGAACCCTGTATGTGTGTATTATGAGAACTTGTGAGGGCGGACTGTTTACTAGGTTTCACAAATTCATAGCCGGCCTTTTAGGAGGAGTGGGAGCAGCTGCAGGGAGCTGGTCAGATGAAAGACAGGAACTCCTCTAATCTGTCTGTAGAACTGGGTGATAACCAGGGAGCCAAGGAAGCTGCCCAGGCGCTGAGAGACTCCGGTCTGGTTCTGAGTCTTTGCAGACATGTAACAGAGACAGTAGCTGCATGGTGGGGTGGGTAGCATCTAAGGGACTGAGTGGCTTTTTATGCAGTGGTTCTTCATCACTTTTGGAGTTACTTAATTCTCTCACTAAACTGACGTATAATTTTTTTCCTGCTTCTTCCTCTCACTTCGTTAATGAAGTGATGAATTATGCAGCGGAAACGCCAGCTTGTGAGCGGCGGAATGATTTATAATGCGTCCATAACAGGAGGAAAAAGAAAGAATGAGAAAAGGAAATGTGTTTGCGTGTGCGATGTAGGGAAAATGTAAGATACACATATATGTGTTTCGATGCCTGTAGGTAAATGTGTGTGTGTGTGTCTGTGTGAACTTACTCGGAGTGTGTTAGGGTGGAGGTAGCCTGGGTGATGACTGATCCAGACTGGGAGGAGGACAGGGCTTGCTGGGCGGCCAGGCTGCAGCTAGGGGCCATCATGGGGCCATGTGTCTGGGGATGATGCAGTGCATGAGTCTGGGGATGATGCAGCGGTGGTTGGGGATGTGGGTGCTGAGGCTGGGGTGGGTGCTGGAGCTGATGTTGGGGTTTGAGCTGGTGCTGGCTCATACAGGAGGGCCCATTATGAGAAAGCGACTGTGGAAAGAATAAAAAAAAAGACAAACAGCTGAGACCATTGTAAACTTGTGGGGCAGTAAATGATTGAAGTCTTTTACGATCAGAGATTACGGTGCCAGTCAAAGTCCTTTTAGACACTAACGCAGACACATGGCAGCCATCATGAGATGTGGCAGAGCAGTTTTTTTAAGCATTACCTATATTAACTTTAATTTCATTGTTCACAGGGAGATTAATATTGCTTATATACACTCACCTGTCAAATGTGTCAAATCACTTAAAAGGTTTCTGTCTATCAGTCCCCACCGTATCTTAAAGACCTCATAATACCATATCATCCCAATAGAGCACTTTGGTCTCAGACTGCTCGTTTACTTATGGTTCCTAGGGTACTTGAAAGTAGAATGGGAGGAAGAGCCTTCAGCTTTCAGGAACAAGCTCCTATCTTTAAGATTAGGCTTAAACTTTCCTTTTTGATAAAATATATAGTTAGGGCTGGATCAGGTGACCCTCTCATGATGCACTGAGTGTTTCTTCAGTCACTACGTGTTTATACACCACTGTGCATTAAATCATTGGTTATTATTAATCTCTGGCTCTCTTCCACAGCACGTCTTTTGTCCTGTCTGCCTCCCCTCCCCTCAGCCACCCCCAATCTGCCCCCCTCTGAACTTAGTTCTGCTAGAGGTTTCCAAGTGTGTGTTTTCCCTCCCACTGTCACCAAGTGCTTGCTCATTGGAGATCATCTAATTTGGGTTTTTTTGCTCTAGTATTGTAGAGCCTTTACATTAAAGTCTTGAGGTGAGTGATGCTGTGATTAGGTGCCATATAAATAACAATGAATTGAACTGTCTTTGCCTCCAAAATCAAGCTTTAAAAAGCTTTTCCCCCCCTGATAGTCATACTACCACTCTCTATACATGCTCTTTCAAAATCGCCCCAAATATTTTGATTTAATTGCTTTGAGTGCCACATTTCTCTCTTATAATGCCTGTGGTGACAGCGATGAGAGTGTGTGCACTTGTTTAGTTGTCTCTGAGTGTGACGACTAGCTGTTTAATTTACAGGGTAGAATGTGATCGCTCGGTGTGTCTTTCCTGCAGCAGGTCAGATATCTGCAGCTGTCTGACCGGGCCTGACTCCCTCACAAACAAGTGTCACTCAAAACATAAACTCTCAGCAGCACCGGGGGACGGATCTGCATCATGTCTTAATCCTTGCTTCTTTCCAGCTAACGTCAGACTAGAACTGATGGTTTATTTTAAGTGAAATAAAATAATATGATAATAAAAAACTTGTCAGACTTACCTGCTTCTTGTTTTCCTCCTCTTGTGCTTGAAGAAATTCTTTCTCGATCTCCTTGAAGAGACCAACCTCTTCGCAGTTCTGCAGAAATCGTGTCGGCGTCGGAGTCTGGTCTAGAGTCATTGCATCCAAATGGAAACAAAAGAGAGGGAAATAAAAACGGATTTGCTTTTTAAAAAAATTTGAAGCACTTGCCAAAACAGACTGTAGTTTAAGCTTTTTTTGCTTTCTAAATTAACAGTGGTGCAGGTCGTCATGGGAAGAAGAGGAACGAGTCTCCTCTCAGCTGAGCTCTCCGTCTCTGTCTGATAACATCAGTCTGTCTCTCCCTGAGCCGTCTAAACACATAGAGGTCAGAGGTCACATGAGGGTTTTTGTTTTGACAGGGGAGTTCCTGCAGGAGGCGTGACAGGCTGCAGGACGGAGGTGCAGAGGGAGAGTCTGCAGAGGCCAGATCTTGCGCCGTTGTTTACATCCAGACAAATCTTTGGGGAAAACATTGACACCAACAGCCACGTTCGCCTCCAAAATTGTCACAAAAATGAAGCCAAAACATCGCAGCATGGCTTCCATGACTTTTATGATTTCACCTTTCTTGTGTGGCTACACTTTTCTCAGCACCACGGCTTCCACTGGCGATGGGGTAATATTTTGGTTGTACTGCTTTGCATTGATTCCACCACAAAAGCCAGCTTACGCTCATATGTTGCTGTAGTCCGGGCTGAAGATGAGGTGGAAATTCTTCTTGTTTTGGCATTGGGGCTCATACTTACTCATATTTTCTACAAGCAGCCAAGCCACTGCTTCCTGCTCATGGTCAGTATGTATTCACAGAAATGTTAATGTGGAAGCACAATATTTAAAAACTGTGTTTAAATGATCGTCTGGAGGTTGTTTTGACGTTAAAGATACTAATACTACTACTGTAGCCTGAGCAGGTAGTGCATAACACAGAAATGTGAGGCTTGCAAAGTTAATTTAGATGCAGAATCAGCATTTTACAGCCGTTCACAATGGGACTAATCTTAATGGGGCATTTGTTTCCCTGGAAATCACTGCAAATGTGTTTGATATAGTCTGAGTGAAATTGTCAACTGTTGTTAGATGCTTACTTTTTTTAAGAGCAAACCTTTCCTAAATTCTTATTTTTGCCATTGAAACACATGACCGGACACTGAATCTACACACAGACACACAAAACAAGCTAAAGAAATTTTCTCTGACTTAGCAGATCTTGAAACAGGAAGAATCCTTATCTTTCCTCTTGTAGAAAAAAACATCCTTAAAAAAATAGGAAGAGGATGAATTTACAATATCAGTGCTTTTAAAACAATCGGAGAAGGTTCAGCAGTCTTTCTGCTATTATCAGTCTGTTGCATAGAACTGAATTAGAAACAATTAAACAATTTTGGAATTTTATTTTCACTCCTCATGAATATTTGTGTTGGAAATACAGAGCACAGTAATGATTAATATACATTTAAATGATGGCTAAATTGTGCTAAATTAAAACCATGAGCTCTAGAAGCAGTGAAATACTGTGTTTTACATGGGCCGTGCAGAGACCTACTCTCCACGTTTTTAAATCAAAGTGCTGTTATCTGTGTTTTGGCTCTAATCTGATGGAGTATACTGTACATGCTGCAACACAAGACCATTTGTAGTCTGTTTGAGGGAAGGAAGCTTGCTTTGGTGGGTTATCTGACTTCATACTGTATAGTATATCGTCATCTTTTTAAAAAAAATATATATCAAGCACTGATCTTGAAAAGGAGGAAGTTTCACCACAGACATGTGCAGCCAGGAGATGCGGTCACTGGGAGACTAGGATGAAATCTCAGAGAAGCTCATTTTCTTCCTTACCTGTGAATGCTGCATCTGTCTTTATGGAGGGGAACTTGAGGGTCATCTCATGCTTGTGCCTGTGGATGATCAGATGTTCCTCTAACTGGAAGCGCTGCAGCACACCAACACAGGAAGAGAGATGTGAAGGGATGCGTGCAGCTGTGTGACACGCGGGATGATTTTCTCAGTTAAAGCAGCTGATTACCTCTTAAGCTGACTAAGACATCATGATGCTCTTAGTCTGTTAAGTATTTTAGGTTATTCATCACTTCAGAAACATTTGTATTTATCAGCAACTCCTCCTATATTCTACAGCTTGATCGTTACTCATTTCATTGATGATTAGGTCTGACATCCTGGTTTTTTTTTTGTTGTTTTTTTTTAAAATGACCATTACAGCCCTTGTAATGCCACACGTACATAGCATTCTACTGACCTGAGAGCAGCCTGGGGCGCCGCACATATAAGGCCTGTCCTGTTTGTCATTCATGTCATACACAAGCCTGCACAAACAGAAGAAGTGAGAAGAATTTATTTACCTGCAGTCTCAGATCACAGCTCAGATGAGCTCACCCAGCAGGCAGCCTGAGGTTCCCTGTTTTATGTTTTGTATTTACACGGATAATTCACATACTGTTCACCTATTATCGTGCCTTTATTGTGGAAGCCGTGTGTAATGAGATAGTTGCCACAGATGATGGATGTTTCTTCCTGAGACACAATATTAAGTTGACGAAAATGATCCCTTTGGTGCCAACGGACGGGGGTGAGAGCATACACTAGGTATTAGGACGAGCCCTATAGCGTACAAACCATGTTTTTTCCAGCCTTTCATTACTCGTTAGTAATTACACGTAAACACAAGAAGGGCATCAAAGCCTTCCAGCATTGGGAGCTTTACTTTTCACTTGGAGTGGGGACTAAGTGTAGTGCAATTGTTTCAGGCTACAATTAGGCTTTCATCGGGGTATCAGTTAATAATACTGGTGTGATGAAAGGATAAGTGCTCGCCATGTCTTACATCAAGTCACTGGGATAAAATTATCAACACAAATGCTGATGAGAGTCACAGTAATAAACCAGCTTGCAGTGCCAACCCAGAACCGACCCAGTTGCCTCTGCTGCGAGGATATTAAGCCGCCGATGTGGAGCAATTGTGAATTATTTGAAGACTGCTGTTGAAGCACAAAGTAAGAAGGTCTTCAAATCCTCAGCCAGGTGTCAACAGGTGACAAGGGTCAACAAATGTTACCAGTGTTGCTGTGGGAGGAGATGGTGGTTATGAGAAGCATATTCACAGGTTGCACACTCCCCCACCCCTTGTGTAAGCGTGAGCCGAGAGCAATGAGAAGACAGCAAAGCGCGTGCTGATGTTATGGGAAAGACTGAGAGCCGAAGAGACGAGTTGGGAAAGAGAGGGCAAAAGTAAAGGCATCCATAAGAAGTGGAAAGAAAGTGTGTGTGTGTGTGTGTGTGTGTGTGTGTGTGTGTGTGTGTGTGTGTGTGTGTGTGTGTGTGTGTGTGTTTGAGTGAGAGGACGGGTGGGAGGTGGAGAGTGACATTAGGTTGATGGCGAGGAAAATGGAAAGGGCAAGTGGCAGTGATCGAGAGAGGGAGAGGAAAGCAGGAGGAGGAGGACACAATGAATGGAAGAGAGAAGGAATGAGGGTGGGAGCCTGCGAAGGGAGGGCTGCACTTCAGGCCTACTCGTGACAGGTTCGAACCTGCCTCAGCCCCCATTTTCCAACCCCAGGCAAGTAGAGGTGACTTCATAGGTGTGCGTGTGCTTGTGTGCTTGAAAATAAACCAGTAACTAGGTGATCACAACACCAAAATTCCAGCAAGATCGGAGATTGATCAAAGTATTTAAGTTTTGGATTCTCAGCTAATACAGAAAGCAGGTTTATTAGTAGTTTTATGTATCAGCAGTATGTAACAGCGTGCCACAGTCAGCTGTACTCGAAGTGTTTCACAAGCTCACATTTTACAGACAAATGTAAAAATTTAAAGCCCAGCATCCAGTTTGTAACCCCTCTGCCCCCTCTTTCTGCTCTTGTACAAGATTAGCAGACTCAGCACATTTCCAGCAAAACCTTCTGTCAGAGCGGGCACTTCAATGCGCAATGACGTCATCCTTAACGGATGAACTCAACAACAGACCAGGCAACATACTGTCAGTTTAAGACAGGATTTACGTTGACAAAAAAAGTTTTCCCGCCTCATTTTTTAACTGTCATTGTTCTACACTTACACTCGGTTACTATGACTCACAGAAAAACACGCACAACTTTTAATATCACCTGTAAGCATCAAAGAAATCATTTTTAAAAAGGTGCCAGGTTTAGTTACTCACTACACTTCTTCAAGTCCCCCGTATCTGATGGATGAATCATGACAGCAGCTGGCATGGAGCTCATTCTGCTCAATTTAAATCGCAGTCCTTAACCAAAAAGTCCTCCGGACGGTCACTGCCTGCGTCTCAAGAACTTGACCGGTATTTGTGTGTGTGTGTGTTTATGTGTGTTTGTGTGTGTGTGTGAGTTGTCTTTTCCTCCTACCGCACCGTAAAGGAACCTGTTCAACTCATAAACAAGCCCGGCACAGCTGTACAGAGAGTGCTGTCACACCCCCCAAATAGACAGGAGCGCTCAACCTTTCCGCTGGGTGATGAGACTTCACCGGGACACCTCGCTAAAAAGTTCCGCCGTCAACTTTTCTTTCCTTTTTCTTTTTAAACCGTCAAAATAAAAAAAAATAAAATAAAAATAATAAAGGCACAGTATCAGGAGAGCGGTTGCCGCGGAGCTAGAAAGTTTTGTGAATGGAAGTAAAAGACTTACCTACAAGTAGAGAGTAGACGAGCGGCGCTCCAGAGAGGAACCACGTTGGACTGGAGCGAGATTACAATACGTTCTATTTACAGAAGCATTACATCACCCTCCCGGTGACGTCACGTGGGATTCCTGAACTTCTAAATCATTGCGGTCCCGTACGGAGAGAGGGCTTGAGAGGGGCGGGGTTACGACACGGTGAGGGGGACGGGACGGAACAGCAGCAATAGCAGCAGCGTGGTGCTGGACCGGAGTCAGTGACAGACCCACCGGGTAGACACACCAACGGCAACGTGACGGGACACGGGGCAGACCGGGTGGGCGGATGAGACCCAGTTAAGTGTTTGTTTGTTTTTTGTGTTTTTTTATCCTGTCCCCACTTTTGGTGTGTGTCTGAAACGGGACGTTCCAGCGTCTGTATCGAGTTTACGTGTCCAAATGAGCGAGAGCCTCCGGGTCTTTTTCTTCTTCTCAGAACGTTAGACAGTCAACGTATGAGACTATTTGCTTGAAAATAAAGCTGAAACCCTGAAGTGATTTCAACGAAACGTTAAGTACATCCTGTCATCACCCAAAGCAACATAATAATAATAATAATAATAATAATAATAATAATAATAACTAGAAAGCGAAAATTTCTGAAGAAATTTTAAGTGTGCCTATGCCGC